ATACCGACAGACACACTGGATAGTTCCAAATAAATGCGAAATTCCAAAGTAAAATAGAAACACATTTTTTACTAGGCGTCGTCCTCGCCGTCGCCGTCGCCGTCGTATATGCGTAAGGTCCCTAATATTTCAGAAACGACGTGCGCACATCAACTCGACTCATGCCTCTTCGAGAAATTCGTGTAGCCGTGGCCGTAGTCGGTGGTAGTCATATTTTCGTAATATAGGACAATTCAGGATTGCATAAACGAAAATTAGGCGAACATTATACTGCCATGCACGCTAGTCTGTGCCATGCATTTCAATGTATTGTTTCGCAAGCAAAACGAATACTTGTGAAATGTTCTTGTTTTGTTTTTACAACAGTCAGTCAAAGAATCGATGACAGCGTACTGTATCAAGACGTCTCCTTGGTGAGAAGAGGAAGTGTCTCCCGGGAGTTTACCCCCCTAGGAACGGATGAGCTGCCGAACGAGGGAGATCTAGTGGGGTTGGACGCTGAATTTGTTACACTGAATCAGGTGCGAAGCTGTCCCCACGGGTCTTCGACACAGTGTTCTGTGAGTTATTTACCCCGAGGGTCTACCTGTGGCCCGACATTTTTACCTTTTTTTCGGTTGTTGTTAGAGACGTACCGTTCAGTTGGGTAGTGTGTTGGAATTCTTTGACAGCAGTCCCTGTTCTAGAGTTTTGAGTTCTTTTCTTGGGCAACAACCTGATGTCACAGTGTGTCCTATCAACTTGGCGAATTGGTAGGGCAACTTGACCAAATGGTAGGTGGGAACTTTGAACGGACCAAGACCTTTTCCTCGGAGAGTAGCGACATTTAGTTTATCACTCAGTTAGTACGCGCGTTGTGGTTGGTCAATTTAGCGGGCCGTATTCTACTGTACGGCCCGCTAAAATTTAAAGCTGTTTTAGTTGCCAAAATGTTCGGTGATTTATCGCCAAGTGTCCTTATCTTTTATAACAAGTAAAAGTTTAAAATTTTCTTTTACTTCTGAAACTGTGTATTAAACCGTGCGAACGACTTAAAAGTCACTTAACAACGATTTTAAATTAACTCGTTTTGTTTTCGAGGTGCGTCAGAAATTTGAAGCCGTTCCGTGTGAATAGAAATCGTTCCCGAACCAGTCAGACACATAGTAGAGATATAATAAATATCTTATTAACCTCGTTTTCTCCGTCTGTACGGTAAGTTACGGATTCTCGTTTTTTTTCCCTTCGAGCGCGAAGCGCGCGGGTCATAAATCGATAGGGAAAAAACTCGGTCCGTAACTTACAGTACAGTACGACCCTCGAACTCGGTTACTAAGAGGTATATATTTTCACTTCATAATATGGAACAGTGGCTGTACCACCGTTTTAACAGCGCTCGACTTTCTTCTAGTTCCTTGAATAAGAAAAGTGAATACACATCTTTTTATTTCAATCGTGCCTCTATTCTGCGAAATATAGGTGAAATGGAATTTGAGGTAGTTTTTCATTCCCGTTTTTCCAGGTTCTCTTCACTTAAATTACATAACGAGTCACGCACAACTTGTCAGGACTTGTCTCGTGACGAGTCAAAGCAATTTCTGGCTAGAAGGCTAACTTGGAAATTCTTTGCCCTTGTTTTCTTGTGTGTGCCTTTTTTAGGAGGAGGCTGAAATAAGATGCGATGGTACGCGGTCTACAATAAAACCGAGTCAGATGAGTGTGGCTCGTGTTACTGTTGTCCGAGGGTAAGACAATACTGAAGCCATGAGTCACATCATTTTGAACAAGGTCTGCTCAGTTTTAGATTGCCCCGTAATAAGGTTTCCCATATTTCATTTGACATTACTCTCTAATTGTTAGTTATAAATCAGTTTTTCTGCCGTTCACGTTTCTCGTGATAAGTGTCGGCAGTGCAAACGCGCAAAATAATATATCGTATTGGTTAATTTTACACGGTACGCAGACTCAAGCAGACGCTCTTTAAGCTCGTCACGCAATCGTCCTCCTCCTTCGTGAAGGAGGAAGATTGCGTGACGAGCCCAAACAGCGTCTGCGTGGGAGCCTATCTTGGAGCTTACATTATGCGCAAACTTATTTCATGAACCAACCGCGCACTCTTTTTTCTTTCAGAGGACTCACTTCTTTCCTCGAATTTCGCTTCCTTAGACTCACGAAATTTCAATACAAACTCAGCTCTCACTCTAGAGAAACACAGAGAAGGAAGATTCGTTTGTCGGATAAAATTCCTTGATATTAGCAATGTTTCTTTCTTTATAGTGATGGCCCGCTAGCTGGCGTACCCTTTATAGATGACTACATATCAACGACAGAACAGGTTAGTGTGTCTTTTGAGGGGTGTGGTCGGGAGAGGCTTAACAACCATCGCTTGATAATGTTGTTCGTAAATCTCGATAAGATGACATGTACCTCACCTTAACTAGGCATAATACTTAGGTACGATAGTGTAAAATCAGGAGTGTTGGGCCGTAAGCTCACACGGAAGACTCTTTAAATTTCAAAGTGTGTTGATTTCGGTCAAAAGCCAGGAGATCAAGGACTCTACCTTAAGCAATGAATTGATTAATAAATACAGTTGAATCCTGCTATTACGAACTCTCGAAATAGCTAATGACTGAAGGACAAATCCAAGGAAATGGTTTTGAGCTCAGTCGAAATAACAGGGAATTTGAAATAACCGCGTTCGAATTAGCGGGGTCTATCTGTAATTTTATCATATCATCAACAAGCCTTTTTTTCTGCCAAATCAAGTAAAAGTAACTTGTTTCTCAGATATCATAATCGTTAAGTTGTCCTTTTCAGGTTGTTGATTATCTTACAAAGTTTTCCGGCATTAAACCAGGCGACTTGGACGCCACCATGTCCTCCAAACATCTCACCACACTGAAGACAACTTATCGCAAACTAAAAGCTTTAGTCGCCAGGAAAGTGAAGTTCGTTGGTCATGGCCTGAAGAAAGATTTCAGAGTTATTAATATCCTGGTGCGTAGTACAAGTAAACACGCGTGAGGTAGTACACAGTGGATGTGCCACGTACCTGCTGTATGTTGTGAAACGGCCTACGAAAACTGTTAAGAAACTCTCCATTGTTTGTTATTACTGTTCAGTTTGTTTGTGTTGTTGTTGTTGTTGCTGTCTTTGTGGTAATGGTCCCCATCGTTGTAGTGAAGTTGCTGTCGTCGGTTTTCTTTATCACCCGTGGTTCATTTTCCGTCTTCCCCATCTCCCTCCTCTTCCTCCCCTTCTCCTCTTGCTCCTCCTCCTCCTCTTCTTCCTCTTCCTATCACGCTCTTCCTTTTCTGCATCTTCCACAACCTCTTTCTACGCCTCCCTACCCTTCCCCCGCCTTCTCCTCCTCCTGTCCTCTCCTCCTCCTCCTATCCCCCTATTCCTTGACCGCATCCTCCGTATTCTCTTCTTTCGCCTCCTTCCTTCTTTTCTCTCTTCATCCTCTTCGTCCTCCCCCTCCCCTTTGACCAGTAGCATCTTGTGTCTGTCTCCTTGTATATTTTAGGTACCAAAGGAACAAGTATTTGACACAGTAGAACTCTTTCATCTTCCTCGTCAAAGATACATCTCACTTCGATTTCTGGCGTGGTATTTCTTAGGTAACGTTTCTTTAGTCCTTGTGATATTTTCAGTTTTTTGCTTTCCCTTATCTTCATTATTTATTATTTCGTCGATCAGTTTACTGCCTGCTATTTGATTGTTCGATTGATAGAAGTATTGGTAAAAAAAAAGGTAGGCCTGGGCAGGAGGGTATCNCAGTACCATGAAGCGACTAGGAGTATTTCTACCCCCCCCCCCCCCCCCCCCCCCCCTGGATGGAATGCTAGTCCATCGCAGGGTTACCCCCAGCATTAAATTCGCTGGCACTGTGAGAGTAAAGTATCTTGCCCAAGATTAAAACACAATGTCCCCGGCCAGGGCTCGAACGCGGACCGCTCGATCCGGAGTCGAGCGCACTAACCATGAGGCCACCGGATTGCTCGATAGATATAGTCGAACCCCTATTAAGCGTCCACCTATTAAGCGGCCACCCTTATTAGGCGGCCAGCAA